GATATACTAGCACATCCCTGCGCGCTGGGGCTGATTCCGGACTCTCTTCATTTCCTCTGGCCAGCCCCTGTGTCCTGCTGCAGGACCGCTTACTAAGGAAGCTCTGCCTGGTGGGCAAAGGCATGGCCTTGCTCTCCTTTCAGAGGTTTTTTTTCTGTCTACTTTTGATTGATTGTCTTCCCAAATGAATTGTACAACCAACTTGTCAGCTCCAGGAAAAAACAAACACGAACAAAGCAAACAAAGAGCCCAAACCATAGTGAAACATCCCTGGTGGAGTTTTCATTGTGCTGGTAAAGCTGCTCGGGAAGGAGCCACAGGCTGATGAGGTCCCTGGACCTGGCCTGCCTTCCACTTGCTCAGCCCACTCTTGAGTCTTTCAGGAGAGAATGACAGCCTCCCTCACTCCCCTGTGCTTACTTTGATTCCATCAAATCCAGATGCAAAACCAGGTCATCTGCAAGCAGAGGTGGTTTTAAATCTTTCGTCGCCATCTTTTGGCCTTGACTCAGGCGCTGTGTTTGCTGGCTGGGATGGGGCTGCATGGGCGCCCACTGCACTCTCGTCCACATTCCTCGCCCATGAGGGGGCGGTCGCCGTGGGCGTGACATGACAGGGTGAATATGAACCGCCCCCGATCGAAGGCCCGTCTGTGGATGCGGGGTCCTGTGGGCTAGGTCCTGCCTGCAGTTGGCTCGCCCAGCATCCTGCTGGGGGCCCTGGGGCAGGAACATGGCCAGACCTGTTCCTTCTGCCTGGGAAGGAAGCCCCCCTGGATGGCACTGGGACCCTTCGGCTTCAAATAATTAATGAAATATTCATTACTATATGCCAGTCCTGCTGAAGCATCTGGGAACAAGGCAGACAAAATCCGGGTCCATGGGGCCGCCGGAAGAGGCAGGCAGAGGCAGACAAGTCAGCAAACTGGGTGCGGGACGAGAGGTGGCGGGGAGGGGCGTCAAACCACCCAAAGGTCAGCACACCTCCACCTCCTGTACACGCCCGCCCATCCTGGGAGACACCGACCCCAGCCTTCCCTGGCGAGGGGCAGCCCCGCCATGGGGTCTGGACGTGGGTCCACGTGTCAGGGAAGCCAGGCGCCCTCCGGAGGGTGGTGCCATGGAGGCCAGCGCTCCTGCTCTCTTTCGTCCACCCGTGCCGGACTGTCCCCCCAGCTTCCAGAAGCTCCCCAGGTGGAAGCAGGAGGCACCTTCCTCATAGTGTTTGAGGCTTGAAGTACCTGTTGTCAGGCATTTGCTTTCTGGGGAACAAAAACTACTTGGAAAGGAAAAGAGCTTGGGGTGAATCACTAAATCTGCAACACACACCAACAGCATTGAATTAAGATGGCAGTTACCCTGCCGTCACCCACCACCGCTCCTGGGCCGTCCCTGGGCGCTACGCATGGAACCCCAGCCGCCCGGGTGCCCCGGTCAGCAGAGCTCATTCCTCTTGGCGCTTCAGTCCGATTCCATCCTGCTTGTCTGCTTCAGTCCTCGACTGGAGGAAGCGGCTCAGAAAGCCCAGACCAGGCCCTTGGAGGAGATGGTTGAATGGGGCAGCCTGCTCCCAGCCTCGGAGGCTGGAGCACTTCCACTCTCGTCCTGTAAATGCCGCCTGAGCGGGGATGGTGGGAATGGCGGGGGTGGCGCCCAAGCCCAGCACCGCAGATCCTCCTTGTCCGAGCTCTCCCGTCAGGGGCCGAAGCAGAGCCCCAGGTCTCCACTGCCAAAACCCGGGCTGCTGCTGCCCCTCTTCTGGCCGGCGGCCTCGGCACGCAGCCGTCCCTACCCCTCCAGCCCGGCCTTCCCTCCCACCGGGCAGGCAGCTGATGCTGAGGCTGAGATCTACCTAAGAGGTGTGTCCAGGGGCTGGACCCGCAAACCCCGAGCCGTGGAGAGCCCCCTCCCATCATCAGACGGCTGGCTAGCAGTATCTCCTGGCACTTGAGACAACTTCCTCTTTCAGAATTTCACCGAGTCCTGGAAGGCAGCTCTGAGTCGTTCCACGGCTGGGGCCTTGGTTTCCCCTGTGTTGAAGGTGCCCTGCCTCGCTGGACCCACGTCCCGTCCAGAAGTCGGCGCTCTCCTCCCCAAGGGCAGTGTCCACTGGAAACAGGGCTGGCTTTGCTCTTGCGTCCATCTGTCTGTCCGTCTGTGTGGCGGGAGCTGACAGTCGTCAGCAGCAGGACCGGCCACACCCTGGGATGTGGTGTGAGCGCCGGGCTCCCTGGGGCCCTGTCCCTGCAGTTCAGCAGGACCTCACCAGTGTTCCTGGCTGTCACGTGCAGGATGGGCCCGTGGTAACCCGCATGTCCACAGTCCATGACCGCAACACCGTGTCAGCCAGGTCTCCCAAAAGTGGGAGGGGGTGGCCGGCCTTCAGCTCCCCGGGCTGCCGGCCTCACGGGGAGCCACCAAATGTGCCTCGTTGGGCAGACATGGAGGTGGTTCTGAAGCTCTGGGCTTCTCCTCCCATGACCTTGGCCAGGAGTCCCGGTGGGGGTGCAGTCTGCCTGCCACTTTGGGCCTCTTGGGTGTGCAGCCGACGGGGGGAGCCCTCCAGCCATGCCCCTCTCTGCACAGGCTCAGAAATCCTGAGGAAGAGCGTCGAGAGCCAGGGTGACAAGCAGGTGACTGGGCTTTATGGCTGTGATCGCAGCTGATCACACACATTCACATAGCTACCGGGAAACCCTGGTCTCCGCTGCTCCTTTTTGTCAGTCTGCGTCCCTGGGGACAGCCCCAGATTGGGGGTCGGGCTCATGGAGATGGGGACGCAGCACAGCCCATTGAGCCCGGCGGTCCAAGGCCCGTTGGGAGAGCGCTTGGGCTGTCCCTCCTGCAGATGACTTTTGGGCCATTTTGCTGAAATAAGGAAGATTCTAGAAAGCACATGGTTCTCACACTGGTGGCCTCATGCGTGGGAGGGGCCTCGCCTCCACCCAGTCTCTGTACAGCAAGGCCCGGAACCCTGTGCGACAGACAGGCTGCCCGTCTCCGCCCAGCAGCCCCGACAGCTGGGAAAGAGAGCAGACGTGGACCACGCTGTCCGGTGACACCGGCCACACTTCTCCGTCCCTCACGGCTCCCAGGATGGCGGGTGGCCTGCCATCTTGGCTTCCTGGGGCCACTGTGACAAAAGACCACACAGCGGGGCCCCTCCCTCTGGTCATCACATTTCCTCTTGCCATGGGAAGACGAGAACTGCTCCCAGCCTTTATCCACATGGGAAGCCTTGGCGGCACGGATGGGGCAGGATGTTGGCTGTGGCCCCCCTTCCCTGCCCCACTCTGCCAACCCTCAGGGCCAGGGCTTCGATGTGTCTGTCCCCCACTGTGGTCCAGGCACAGCAGCAAGGACGGGCTTAACATGGGGCATCCAGACCAGGTGGGGGGGCTTTGGAAGACCAAAGCAACGCAGGTCTGAGGCTGGCCCCCGGATCCCTGGGCTGCTAGCTTTCTGGCAGTCAGCCCAGCTAGAGGCAGTTTTAGGCAGAGCTTTGCGGGGGGCTTGGTGGCCTGCACGGGCCCCTGGGTGGGTTTGAGGTGGGAGCTGAGCAGGCTCAGAGGTCCATGTAGCTCAGCATGGCAGGATGCCCCTCCGTGCCCGTGGGTGTCACCCCGGCAAGCTTTGCCTCCCTGGGGGCTGGCAGGGTGGTGCACGGCGTTACCTTGGAAACTGCATCTGCAGCTCACGAAGGTCCTGTACTGGATGATGTGGGCGCATTCAGCACTCGGGCTAAAGCTGCTCCGTTGTTGCGTCCAGCACCCCAAAGCCAGTGGTCACCCGCCGCCTGCCCGCCAGACACCCTCACAGTAACAGTGCAGAAGCCAGAGCAGTGGGAGAGGGGTGCTTGCCCCGTACTCCATTCCCGTCTCTGCCCGCGTCCGGTACATCGCGTCCATGTCGTGCGTTAAATGCCGTAGGCTTAGGTTTTTTGCTTGGCATTATAAAAATAGTCACATGTCATTAAGTCTTTATAAAAATTGTTTCAGCGGCTGCGTGGTGTTTCACAGAGCTCTCTTGCCCGTGTCTGTAAGGTTGTTGGAAGTCAAGGTTGCTTGAAAGTCTGTTATTAGCAGTTTGTTCAACTATCATGAACATCTTCTGAAAAAAGCACCTTCATTTCTTAGGACGCGTTCCCAGTGGGGGAATGTGGGCTTCCCCCACACGGGCTGGATCCCAGGGGTTTGGCCTGAGACTCTGATGCTCACTGACACTTCTGGTCAGGGCCAGGCCACCTGCCTTTGGGTGAGGCACCGGGGACAGCCTCCCACCCACCTCGAGTTCTAGAATCTTCCACTTCCTCCCATTCTTTCCCACCCCCCACCCCACCCCTGGCTCCTGCGGCTCGGAGACCTGAAGCCTGAAGGCGAGGGGACCCTCACATGTAGCTTTGGTTATCTGTCCTTGAGTGGTCGCTCTACGACCTGAATGGGGGCCATGGCATTGCCCACCCCAGCCCACGATTTTGTGCATTAGCCCCCTTCCTTCTGGAGACCTTCGTCCCTGGCTCTGACTGATGCCCCTTGGCCAATGGGGCTTGCCCCAGCCAACTCTGTACTTCTTGTGTCTCTCCGTCCCGAACGTGTAAGCACCGCCAACAGTGCTGACTTTGTGGTTTTGTGCCCCGGGGGGTTGGCATTTAAGAGCCTTGCAAGGACCCTGTCGTCACAGGAGGGTCCCTGTTGTGATGGGGATGGTGGCCGAGGGTTGATGAGGACAGCAGCTCTCGCACATGGGGCCTTCCCGGTGCAGGGCTCTGGCTGAGGGGGTCTTCCTCGACCTCCCCCCACAGCCCTCCAAGTCAGTGGCTGCTCCGAGCCCCGGGAAGGGGTGCCAGGTCACCGCTGGGGAGGGGCTGGGGCCCCAGCCCTGTGCTCTTGGCTGGGTCCTGCCCCACCAAAGACATCCGGTCATTTCCGGGTCTCGTGTGCAGTGGGCAGGGCGGGGGGTGAGGGTGGTGGCATCGGCGTGGCCGTTCCGTCCGCCCTCCAGGTGTGCATTGTGCAGAAGCGGGACACAGAGAAGATGTACGCCATGAAGTACATGAACAAGCAGCAGTGCATCGAGCGGGATGAGGTGCGCAACGTGTTCCGGGAGCTGGAGATCCTGCAGGAGATCGAGCACGTCTTCCTGGTGAACCTGTGGTGGGTGACCAGCCACCGCCCTCCCCTGCCCCAGGGCCCTTCCCCAGTGCTCCCTCCTCCCTTGCCTTGGGGACACCCTGACCCTCCATCCACTCAGCTTCCGGTTCCCCGGGGCCAGAGCTGTCCAGGTGTGCAGGGCACACCGTGTTGACGCAGGTCTCCCCACCCACGGGAGGGCCAGGTTTTCCCACAAAGAGGCCTGTGGCCCATGGAGTTTCTGCCACTAAAGCCAGTGGGGAGAGCATTGGGGTCCTGAGTTCTTCCATAAAATGGGCACCCAGACCAGCTCCTGGAGGGGAAGGAGCCCTTAACTGCAATGAAATCACTGCCTCTTTCCTACATGGGAGTCCTGCTGCACGAGGGTCCTCCCTGACACGAGGTCCTCACTGAATCCTCCCTGACAGCCCCCATCCTGGGGTCTGTGCTCCCTAATGGGCTTATGGACTGGGTGGCTTTCCCGAGGGCCCTTGTGGGCATAGGTGCTCAAGCACCTGGGAAGGCATGCAGTGAATGGGTTCTGGTCCTGGTAGTGCCGCCTCGGGACAATTGAAACATCCCCCCAGTATGAGCGGGGGTCTGTCAGCCAAACGTGGAGGGAGAGGCAGCCCCACCAGCATCTGGGGACAGAAAGGTGGGACAGGGCATTGTGGAGAGTGACCTGGTGCTAGCTCCTCCAGGGGACACACTCAGGGCTGAAGACCCCCCTTCGGTTATTCATCTGGGGTGACCACAGGTATAGGAGGTCCTTCAGTGTGACCAGCAGCCCGCAGCCAGCTCTGCGAGTCAGAACCCGGGGTCCTGCCTGGTTGTAATACAGGAGGAGGAGCTGGCTGTGCCACGGGGGGCATGGCCTTGCCCACGTGCTGAGCCAGGCCTGCAGGGCAGTGAGACCCGGGGCTGCCGAGGCCTCCTCCGGCTCCTCACCCCCGGATGCAGCCCCTGACCTCCCTCGCTGTGGCTCCGTGGCCCTATGATTGTTTAGTCTCTGTGCGAGCAGAGGCGAGCAGGGCCACACCACATCACTGAGCTCCATCGTGGCATTTTCAGCATCCTGAGACATTGGTTCTAAAGCTGGAGGCATCCAAGCACCCCTTAAACCTGCCCTCTCTGCCTGATGGCCAGGGAGGGTCAGAGCCCTCGTCCTCAAAGATGGTGACTGCTCTGCTGGGGTGGTAGTTCAGTGCGATGTAAATGACCCGCTTGCAGCCTCACAGAAACAGGCTGCTATCTGTGGTTGACCCTCAGCCATGACACGCCTGGAGCTTGTCAAAAAGGAAGACCTGGGATTTCCCAACATTGGGGTCTTAGCTTCCCTCCCAGGCCATCTGGGCCTCTCTTGGGGAGGCAGGGTGCCTAGTGGACAGGACATGGGCTCCTGGGTTGAACTCGTCCACCCTGCTTCAGAGTCACCTCTTCAGTGGAAGAGAGGTCAGAGTGGTCCCCAGTCCAGAACAGGAGATGCATCTATACAGGCAAAGTGCTCCACATAGGGTGAGGCAGGATGGGAGCCATCATTATAGTTACTGTTCCTCTCCTGTCCTGCTGCAGCCAGGACCCCATCTGCCCAGGGTGGCCTGCCTCCCACCATCCCAGGGCTGGGCAGCACAGGGCCGCTGCGGCTTCACCTCGGTGTGGGAGGCCATCTGCTCTCGTCCACTGCTCCCCAGGACTCATGACCTGTCCTGGAGCCTGGCATTCCAAGTCCCTTTGCTCTCTGGTCCCATATCCCCCTCCCCAGGCCACCTGTCCCTGAGATGAGGGCAGGGTGGCTTCTGGTGGGCAAGCAGAAGAATAGCACATAAAAAAGTCAATTCTTTGTAATGTTATTCTGAAAGAGCCAGTTGCTTAACAATGAGAGTTCTCTCTGAGAGCTCACAAAAGAAATTACAAAGCGGAAGGAGATCCTTAAACTGTTGTTTTGTTATTGCCATCATCATCACCATTATCATCACCATCACCATCACCATCATCACCACCATCACCTCCATCATCATCACCATCACCTCCATCATCATCACCATCATCACCACCATCACCTCCATCATCATCATCATCACCATCACCACCACCACCACCATCATCACCATCACCATCATCACCATCACCATCATCACCATCACCATCATCACCATCATCATCACCATCACCATCACCACCATCACCACCACCATCATCACCACCATCACCATCACCACCATCACCAGCATCATCATCACCACCATCACCACCATCACCATCATCATCACCACCATCACCATCACCATCATCACCATCATCATCACCATCACCATCATCATCACCATCATCACCATCACCATCATCACCATCATCACCATCATCATCATCACCATCACCACCATCATCACCATCACTATCATCACCATCACCATCATCACCATCACCATAATCATCACCACCATTACCACCACCATCACCATCGTCACCACCACTATCACCATCATCACCATCATCCTCACCATGATCACCATCACCATCACCATCATCACCACCATCATCACCACCATCACCACCACCATCATCACCACCATCACCATCACCACCATCACCATCATCATCATCACCACCATCACCATCACCACCATCACCATCATCATCATCACCACCATCACCATCATTATAACCATCACTATCATCAACACTAGCATCACCACCATCATCATCATCATCATCACCATCACCACCACCATCATCACCATCACCTCCATCATCACCATCATTATCACCATCATCATCACCACCATCCTCACCATCATCATCACCATCATCAACCTCACCTCCATCACCACCAATCATTACCATCACCATCATCATCACCAACATCATCATCACCATCACTTCCATCACCACATCACAACCATCATCACCATCACCATCACCACCATTGTTAGAAGCTGGCCCCTTGTGCAGCAGTGCCTGAGCATTTTGCCTTGTGGTCTCCATTCCTTAACAACCCTCCAAGGCAGATGTTTTTATCCCCTTTTTAGAGAAGAGGAGCAGCAGGGAAATGGCCAAAAATGATGCTGTTTTGCACACAGCAAAGGATGCACACAGGATGAGGCTGCCCCCCCCCCCGCCATGGGTGCTCAGGGACAGCCGCGTGCTCCATGGATGCGTGCTTTCAGTGAAGCATCTGCGTGGAGAGACTGTCTGAGCAGGTGCAGGAGGGAAGCCCCCGAGGGTCCTCTGGGGCCATGGGCAGGCCAGAAACCTGGTCACTCCCAGCATCTCTATTCCCCACTGGGCTGCCTCCCATCAGGATAGGCTGCTCTGTCCTTCCTGAGGGTCCTGGCTCAGAGCAGCTCCTGAGCATGGGCAGAGTCAGTGCCTTGGGCAGGGCCCTGCTCCCGGGGAGTGCCCGTGGGAGGTTGGGGGTACCCAAGCCCTTAGATGGTTCATCAGGTGTGGCAGGAGCTGTGACCTCGGTTCCCCTGTCATGCGTGTGCCACGTTCTCCCCCGGTGCCCTCAGGTACTCCTTCCAGGACGAGGAGGACATGTTCATGGTGGTGGACCTGCTTCTGGGTGGAGACCTGCGCTACCACCTGCAGCAGAACGTCCAGTTCTCCGAGGACACGGTGAGGCTATACATCTGCGAGATGGCGCTGGCCCTCGACTACCTGCGCAGTCAGCACATTATCCACAGGTGTGTGCACACCTGACAGGGTGGGTCGCCTGCCCAGGCCAGTCCACGGGCAGGGTGGCTACACCCCAGCAGAACTCGGACAGGCTCCTGCATGATCTGCCCACCCCCTGGCCTACAGACCTGCCCTCAGGTGTAGCACCTGGGCCCATCAGCGCCTGGCTCCAAGGCCAGCCCCACAGCTGTGCACCTGGTGCCCCCTGCCCCCCTTGGGGTGGGTCCTGTGTGAGCAGCCCCCGGCTAGCCAGGATCGGGGTCCCCTTCACCTGGTCTGTCCAGCTGTGGGATCCCGGCCACCACCTAGCAGAGGCCATTTGCTCATCTGCCATGCCCCTGGGGACTGAAACAAATTTTAACGTTAGCTGAAAGCAAGTTAGGAAGATAAAGCTGTACCTGGAGAACAAAACAAGCAAATGCATGTGGTGTATTATCCAGTCGGATAGGTGGGAATCTCTGCATCTCTGCCCTGGGGGATTCTGTTATCTGGTTACGATTCAGGCACGAAACATTGACTGAGCACCTAGAAGTCAGGCAAGGTGAGGCCTGAGGCCAGCTGGTGGAAGGCGTAGACCCAGATCATCAATTCGGTGCAGTCCCAGGGCTCTGCGAGAGGGGCCAGCCTGGGGGTGTGGGTGAGGGGGCTCTGCATCTGTCCTCGGGGGCTCCAGCACCCCTGCATCCAGTGCATTCTCCCGGGTCTGTCTGGCCTCAGCAGGTGGGGGGCTGGAGGTGTCCCCAGCCCCAGGACCAGGATAGCTAGTTTCACCTGGCTCCGTCAGAATGTTGCCAGGTGGCATCTTCCTAAGGCCCACTTGAGTCTCTGGGGCCTCTGCCTTGAGTGGGGAGGGGCCCTTGAGGGAACGCCCTGCCCTGCCAGGGACTGCGAGGCGCGAGCAGGGCTCCTGGACCATCTCCCCATTTCCTGCTCCCTCAACAGGGACGTCAAACCCGACAACATCCTGCTGGATGAGCAAGGTGAGCCGAGGCTGTGTGAGGCTGGACGTGGGGGGCGTGTGCCTCGCCCATGGGATGCGTCTCCAGCCCTTGGGACACTTGCATTGTCTTCTCTCCTCGCAGGGCACGCGCATCTGACCGACTTCAACATCGCCACCATCATAAAAGACGGGGAGCGGGCCACTGCACTAGCTGGGACCAAGCCGTACATGGGTGAGCCGAGGCCACTGGCCCACTGCTGGGCGTGCTGTGTCCGACCCAGGCCAGGGGGGAGGGGGCCTCAGGTCACTTCCCTGAAGGCACAGGACGGGGTGGGATGGGAGCGGGCTGCTAAGCACAGCCGGTTTGATCCCACAGCCCACACCAGGGGGAGGAGGGGACCCCAGGCAATTAGTGGGGGAGGGGGCCTGGGGCCTGTGGGTGCGGGATACTCAGCTGCCTCTCCCTTCCTGGAAAGCTCCGGAGATCTTCCAGTCCTTCGTCAGTGGTGGGAGCGGCTATTCCTTCGAGGTGGACTGGTGGTCAGTGGGGGTGCTGGCCTATGAGCTGCTACGTGGATGGGTAAGGAGCTGGCCCCTGACCCTGAGCTGCCTGTGTCCCCCAGGGGTGGCCCAAGTGCCCAGGGAAGGATGAGGCTGCCCCCCCGCCATGGGTGCTCAGGGACAGCTGCACGCTCCATGGATGCGCGCTTTCAGTGAAGCGTCTGCGTGGAGAGACTGAGCAGGTGCAGGAGGGAAGCCCCCGAGGGTCCCCTGGGGCCGTGGGCAGGCCAGAAACCTGTCAGCAGGTCGGCCTTCTTGGGACTCTCCTGTGGGAGTCATCCTGGTGGCCATCCCCTCATGGGGGCCTCTGAAGCCCCGCACCCTGAGCCACGCCGCCGGCCCCCACCCTGAGGAAGGCAGCCCCTCCTGGCCTCAGGGCCCACCCACCCAGGCCCAGACCTTCTCGGGGGTGACTTGCTTCCTTCCTGGCCCCGGGCTCCCCCTGGGAGCTGTGCCTGCTCTGGGCGTGGGGGTGAGGCACCTGGTGTAGCGCTGCCCACCCCCCCCTCCAGAGGCCCTACGACATCCACTCCAGCAATGCCGTGGAGTCCCTGGTGCAGCTGTTCAGCACGGCAAGTGTGCAGTACGTGCCCACCTGGTCCAAGGAGATGGTAGGCCTGCTGCGGAAGGTGAGCCCCTCCCGTCGGAGGAAGGCCGCGGGTCCTGCGGTCGTGGGTCTGCATCCCCTCCACCCAGGCCCACAGCCCATCCGGCCTCAGGCTCTTTGCCATCTGGCGGTAGCTCGGCCACTCAGAGCACTGGTTGTGAGCTGAAGCCCACGCGCCCATTGGCTCACCTAATCCCCACGATGATCACCCCATTTCACAGATGCCCAAACTGAGGCGCAGGTCACCGTGTCAGGCGTGTTGGGGGGAGGGCACGTGTGGGCTGGGAGCTTCCTTTACCCCGTCCGGTCAGAGATGAGCTGGCCGCAGCTCCAGGAGCACCCAGAGAAGACCCCAGAGCCCCCTGTACCTCCCACGGCCTGAGCGTGTGGCTGGGGCAGCCCAGGGGACCGCAGCCTGGCAGGGACCGGGCCGGGTGTTGCTATCAGAGCGTCTCCATCTGGGGTGCCGGTCTGGGCTGGCCCCCCCGCTCTCCACTCAGGGAGCCCCACTTGGAGCACACCTGTGCCTCCGGGCTCAGGACCGGGCGTGGGAGAGCTTGCTGGACAGACAAGGCTCAGCTGGCTCTCGGCTCCTGGCCCACAGGGCCCTCCTCCGTGTGCCCTCACCCCTGCTGGAGACCTTCGCCCCTGGAATGATAGCCAAACAGCCGGAGGCCTCTCCCGGGCCCCAGGGGGCTCTCCACCCAGTCTCCGCTGACAGTTCTGCCCACACCTGCCCAGGTGGTTCCCGCAGTGGGGCCTTGGCCCCCAGAGACCCAAACAGGGAGCAGGGACCATCCATGAGCCAAGCCTCACGCCTTGGGGAAGCCTCAGATAGGGTCTACCGCCTTTTCCCTAAGAGGAAGGACAGCATGTGGGGGCACACTCAGCCTCCGTGACACAGGGCGCCCTGGGGCTCCCTAGGGGCTGTGCCCAGGTCCTTGTGGCCCTCCCCTGCAGCTAGGCAGGCCGAGGCTGCCGCCTGCTGGTGAATCACAGTAGAATGTCCTTGGGGACCCCACATGCCCTCTGCTGGCCTTGGGCTCCAGGGGCTTGGCCAGGTTGTCCCCTTGGCCACACTACTGCACTGACCTGAGGTGGGTGCCCCCTTTCCTTGCCTGACCCTTGAGATCCTTATAGTGAGACCTCCCTGGGGCACCCTGGCCCCAGGTCAGGCGGCCAGCTCTGTGCACCAGGATCGTACTGGGCCTGGGCACCGTCTGATGTGGGCCCTGTTCCAGCTCCTCACTGTGGACCCCAAGCACCGAGTGTCCAGCCTGCAGGACATGCAGGCAGCCCCGTCACTGGCCGGCGTGCTGTGGCAGGACCTGAGTGAGAAGAAGGTGGCGCCGGGCTTCGTACCCAATGTAAGCCTGGCAGGCGATGGGCAGCGGCTCCGGGCAGGCGTGGCCCCACCGGCAGACAGGGCTCAGCTTCCTGTCCCCCCCACAGAAAGGCCGCCTTCACTGCGACCCCACCTTCGAGCTGGAGGAGATGATCCTGGAGTCCAGGCCTTTGCACAAGAAGAAGAAGCGGCTGGCCAAGAACAGGTCCCGGGACAGCAGCAGGGACAGCTCTCAGTCGGTGAGCGACAGGCCTGGCACGGGGTCCTCCCTGCCTTACCCTGATCTGAGGCCCCCCCCCGACCTGAGCCCTGCTCGCCCTTCCCCTATGCAGGTGACCTCCCTCCTGTTCCTGGCTGTGGTGCTCGGGCTGGGGACGCATCATGCCCAGCTCTGCTCTTGGGTCTCCCACACTCTCCCTGTGTGTGTCTCCTCTTACAGGGACACCCTAACCCCCGACGACCCTCTCCTAACCTGACTCTGTCACATTCCAGGGAGCTGCAGGGTAGGATGTCACTCTGGGAGGGACACAGTGTAACCCACAGCAACGCCTCTCCTGCCCCAGGAGGGTGGGGGCACTTCTGGGGAGCTCAGGCTGTGAGCATGGGATCAACCCTGCACCTGTCCCCCGGGTACAGCTGGTACTCAGAAGCACCTGGAGGTACAGGTGTGGATGGCAGGGGTCACAGTGGTGACCCTGTAAGCCACTGGTGGCCCCCTCCTGCCCCTGGACCCGTCTGAGCCGGCAGAGGCCCCCAGCCCAGGGTCACCTCCTCGCACCTGCTCCCCAGCACAGGGTCAGGCGGGAGGTGGGTGTCGCCCCCCCGCAGGGCTGCAGGTTTGTGGGCATCCCTGGGGTGCCTGGATCCTGGGGAGCAGTGGGGCCTGGCTGCTGGTGGCGGCCCCTGGTGTGCGGGGCTGGAATTGCAGGTGTGCCCCCCCATTTCCAGGTGGGGCCGATTTGGTGTGGTTGCGGGGTGAGGACTGTGAGCCCCTCCGCGGAAGCAGGCGAGCCACGCCCCTTTGTCCTGCCGGGATTGCTAAGAGTCATGTGCGTGTCCTGAGGCAAGGGCCTTGTCAGAGAGGTTGCCAGCATTCTGTTCCGTGGGTTTTCTCCTCTTTGCGGGAGGTGTCGTTTGCGGAGGCGTTGGACTTGAGGAAGCGCGGCGTGTCCACCTCTGCTGTCTCATTCCCGCTGCTGGCGTCTCACCCAAGAGACCGCCGCCTGACCGAAGGCCACGAAGATTCGTTTCTGCCTTTTCTTCTAAGTGTTGTGTAGTTTTACGTCTGGGGTCCGCTTTGGTGCATTTTTACGGATAGCGTCAGGTTGGGGTCCAGGGTCGAAATTTTGCACGTGGATGCACTCTTTTAAGTGCTCTTTTTTGAAAAGACCTTTCTTTTCCCGTTGAATGGCTTGGCGTCCTTTTCAAACATTAATCCACCAAAAGTAAGGGCTTATTTATGGACTTGCGATCCTACCCCATTGATCTGTCCGTCTTCCTCATGCCAGCCCCACACTGGCCTGATGACTGTAACTGTAGTAAGCTTCGAGATCAGGAACCGTGAGTCCTGCACTTTGTTCTCTTTCAAGATTGCTCGGCTGCTTTGGGTCCCTCACATTTTCGGTGAATTGTAGGAGGTTTGGGAAGTGTATCTGAGCTGCTCCACGGGTCTGTTTTTGGCTAGAAGTGGAGCCTGGTTGCAGGCTCCGTGGGTGACAGCTGGGGTGTCAGTGCTCATTAAGGCCCCAGAGACGTCTGCCTGGAGACGGGGATTCATCCGAAAGGTTTATTCAGGAAATAGGCCCCAGGGGGTGGATGTCAAAGTCCCGTGGACAGCGGCTTCAGCCTGACCCTGCAGGGACCCTGGCGTGTCGGCCACACTTCGAGGATGCTGGCTTTCATCTCCCAGCCCCCATGGCCATTCCCAGCCCCCACGACCATCAGCTACGGGGCAGGAGGGACATGCGTTTCTGCGGCCTTCCCACCGTGTGCATATTGGCCAAGGACCGAATGGCGCAAGTGTGGGCATTGGAAGGAGAGCGCCCAGAGCAGGATGGACACACAGACACAGCACAAAGCTTCCTGCCAATGCACGTGATGCAACCGTGGAAGGGGGTGCTCTGTGCACCCCGTGGTGCGTGCAGCCCACCTCGGTTACCACCTGCTCCCACCGTGCCCTGGATAGTTCTGGAACCAGCCTCAGGCCCCCTGGAAAAACCAAGATGAGCACGGTTAGCAGGAGGGACCACAGCCCTGGCTGCTCCCGTCCTCCATGTCCCTCATGTACCTCTCCTCTGGGGGTCTGTGTGTCAGTTGCTCCCCTCCTGGCGTGACACGGACCCTAGCCCGAGAGCTCAGAGCCCTGGTTGAATCGTTTCTCAGGCGGGAGTGTGTGCACTTGTCCATTTATTATCAGCAGGAGGTCAGGCAAGGCTGACACATTCTTGGTACCGAAGCCCTGTCCCTGACGGTGGAGCTGGTCACCCGGCCAGGGTGGTGGCTCCTCTGGGGAGGCCAAGGTGGCAGGGCAGCGACTGGGGAGGACAGAGTTGCACACGCCGAGCGCTGGCCTCCAGTCTTCAGTGGGCACTGACCTCTGGTGTGAGGAGCTTTTGGGCTGGGGGCGCCCGGAGCCCGCTCAGGGCCGGGCACAGTTCACCTGATCCCCCCACCGTGGACGCGTGTGGACAAGGACATCTGGAGGACGTGCCGCTTCCTGCCCCCCCATCTAGTTACCGTCACCACCAGCATGGCGCAGGACCGCGAACGTCCGACGAGTGAGGCTCCTTCTGGCTCCATCGTGACAAGGACCGGGAGGGTAAGCCGGCCTTGGACCAAGACCACGGAAGTGCCACGGTCCACCTCGGGTGACTGCAGTCTGGTCCTCGCCCTTCCTGTGGGGGGGCACAGAGAGGACGCCTCCGTCAACCCGGAGGCCACGAGCCACACCCCGGAGCTCTGCGTAACCGGTGCAGCAAGGACCCTGCCTCCGGCTCAGCGCTGCGCCTGGAGCTGCCACGGGGTTACGCGTGCTGTGGCCCCCGCCGCCTGCCACGAGCCAGGGGCCAGGCCTGACAAGGGGGCGGGAAGAGAGCGGGGAGCAGCGTCCCTGTGCCCTGAAAGTTCTAACGCAAAGGTACAGACTTAAAGTCATGGACTGCCGTTCCACCGCCGACGCGGGCTTGTGATTTATCAGGACCAGGCTGCTTTGTCGGGTCAGGGAGCAGGACCTACTCCTTTTCCACCACAGAAGCTGCTCCCCACGGGTCCGGGCACGGCCGCGAGGGCTCTGCCGGATGCTCTGAGTGCACCTTGTTCATGCCCTCAGCGGCAGGGGGCGACAGCCACGGGGTGGGGCTGGGGTGAGGTGGGCGTGGCCACGGGGTGGGGCTCGGTGAGGTGGGCGTGGCCAGGTGTCCTAGCGGACCCTGCATCCAACCGACCTCCGAAGGCCGGCGTTCCCCCTTCCCCAGGTGTGCTCAGGGGTACGCTCGGGAAATGATTGGGATTTCCCATCAAGGTGGCTGATGACAGCCTTCTGCTCTTGTACCTTGATCTCACTATGCCCATGTGCGAGCGTGTGCGTGCCTGTGTCTGAGCCCTCGCTGTCCACCTCTCCAACCCCCAGGGGCACTGTGACCTGTCGCACATCACTAGATCCCGGGGCTGGAGGTGACCTGCTTGTCACTTGCAGACTCACTGCCGTGACCCTGGTTACTCCCACCTGGTTAGGTCCGGCTAAGTTAGGTCCAGGCTTCTGCCGTTCCCACATGCCACCGTCACCATGGAGCTCGGTTCTAGAAAACAGGCAGCGCTGAGCTGCTCCATGGTGTCGTGACCCTCACCAGCTCATTCCTTAGCACCTTGCCGAAAGGAATGTCCTTTGGGGCCTCCAGGAGAACATGGTCATCTGAAGGGTTCTTGGTTCTTGAGTCTGTTGGCCCATTCTAGCTGCCCACTTCTCTTGAGACTGAGTCCCCCTCAGCACTGGCCCCAGGCTCTTCAAGGCCATCATGTCTTCCAAGGTCCCGGGAGCTGCCCTGCAGCTTGTTAGACCCCACTCCAGGGGTCTTGCCAGGGAATGAGCTCCCTGGTCATGGGAGGATGCCTCATGCGACCACATAGTCCACACCCGCCCTCCCACAGCCCTTCAGGTGCTCACCCAGGCTGTCCTCCCGCAGCAGGGAGCGCCTTTCTGACCTTAGCGGGTCCCACACTGGCTGTGCTGCTGGTGACCAGGACCATTCAGAGGCCGGGAGGGCAGGCGGAAGCAGATCTGGGGGAGCTGCTCTGTGCCACCTGCCTGAGCCTGGAGAGGTGCTGCTCTCCTCCTGTGGCAGGGGGGCCTCTTGCAGGTTGGAAGGTGCGGGCGCATCGCGGGGCTGATGTGCCCACCCGTGTCCACTCAGAGCCCCTCCCAGGTTCCGGGGTCCAGCTCCCTCCTTCCCACAGCCTTGGCTTTGGTGCAGGGAGGGGAGGGAGTGAAGCCAGGTGTGGTTTCTGACCAAGTTTCGTCTTGCAGACACTGTCTCCATGTCAGCACCCACCCTGAGGCAGGAGCTTCCAACCTGGGCATCCTTTGGTCACTGGCTAAGGGTCACCCAGGAGATGCAAAGCCCCAGATGTTCTGGCTGCCCGGGCAGTTCCTCCAGCAGCCCGAAAGCAGGTCTCCAAAGAAAGCCCCAGGGGCAGGCCACAGGAGGACAGGTGGGGAGGGAGGCAAGCTCAGGAAGCCCTTGAGGGGATGCGAGGGAGCCTCAGAGCCACACTACACTCATCGGTATGTTTTTCTGACTAATAGGAGAATGACTACCTTCAGGACTGCCTTGACGCCATCCAGCAAGACTTTGTGATTTTTAACAGAGAAAAGTGAGTGAGTGTTGGGGGTGGGCAGCGGTGGGCAGGGAGGAGGTTGAGGCTCTCTGGGCCACACAGGTCCTGAGCCCCAGCGGCCATGAGGCATCGGGGGCCTGAGAAGTGGACGCCCACCCTCTTGGGGCATCAGGGCAGGAGCCCTGGGGGCAGAGGGTGGGAGGCCCCAGCTCAGGCTTGTGCTCCTTGGGAACTTCCAGTTCTAAATGGGGGCCTAACGGCCAGAATCTCCTGGGGAGACCCTCGGTGCTCTGCCCAGACGGGCCGATGACTCGCAGTCCCGCAGAGTCGCATGAACTGCTACCCTCATGCATTCCATAAACCTTTACTGAGTGCCAGGGACTCTGGGGCAGGAAGATAAGACAAGCCACAAATTGCTAACACACCTGCTGCAGGGGAGGGAGGAAGCCTAGCACAGTGGGCCCAGGAGAGGAGTGGCAAGGTGAGGCACAGAGGGCTTCCTGGAGGAGGCAGCTGGGAGAGCTCTGTCCTGCCTCAGTGACCAGGACGATGTGTGGGCACTGGTTTAAGGCACTGGCTTCCATCCTGGAGGTCAGAGGCCTGAGTAAGAACAGACTCAAGCTGTCTGCAAAGCTTTGTTCCAAAATTGCTGACCCACAGGAATGCACTTAAACTAGGTGTCCTCAGCTTCTGGCTCACTAGCCCCACTGCTCGAGCCTGAGGCCTCAATGGTCATACAGGGCACTGCTGGGCTGGGCATCTCTCTCAGCTCCCCATGGCGCCTGCAGGGGCACGAGGTCCAGCCGTGTTCCCGGGGGACCTATTCCGCGAGTCCCCAGACAAGTTGGGGGCCAGCCAGAAGCGTCCTGGGGCTGCTGGTGAGGCTGCAGAGAGCCCCTCCTTGTGTTTCCCCACCAGGCTGAAGAAGAGCCAGGACCCCGTGAGCGAGCCCCTGCCCGCCCCCGAGGCCGGGGATGCTGCGGAGGACCGGGAGGGGGCGCGCCCCGCGCTGCCCATGTGCGGCTCCATCTGCCCCTCCCGCCTCACCGAGAGTTAACGCCAGTTGCTTTGGAGACTCGGTCTGCCAGCCGGACAGGACAGGCGGCAGGCAGAGGCCCCACGTGGGCGTTCCCAGCCAAGCAGCCCAGTTCCTCCCAGCACAGACCCGGCCGGTGGCCCTGCTGCACCCTGGCCCTGATTTCCCTGGGACGGGCTGTCTGCCCACTGGCTCTCGGCGGCATAGGGCAACCGGAGGCTGTCAGTGTGGCCAAGCGCTGGGCAAGGAGGCTGGGTGCCCCCCTCCCTAGCGGCTCCGTTCCCGGCAATTGTGGCAGGAGGCCCGTGGCCTCTCCTGGTGGCCCCCTGACCCGCTCCCGGCAGTCACAGAGGTCCCAGCACCCCCAGCTGTACATATGGGCGCCAGCCCTGCTATGGGCAGACGGACACCGTGTGCGGGCTCCCCGGGGCCACTTGGGCTTGTGCGTCCGGGGCGGGGGAGGTGAAGAGTGTTTTTATAGAGATACCTCTGCCATGTTTCTGTAGATTTCTCGCCTCTGAGCATCACGACGTTTAAGAGCTGCTGGGTGTCCGTGTTGTGTGTGTTGCGTGTCCGCAGCTGTGGGGTGCAGAGGCCTGTCCGTGGGCCGGGCGGCTCCCACAGTCCCATGGCTGCGGTAGGGGTGGCCTGGAGGGGGTGGGGCGGAGGCTGGGGCCTGCCGCAGAACCAGAACCAGCACCGCAGGTCCTGTGAGGAGCTGGCTGGGCCGGGCGGAGGAGGCAGGCTCCCTGCCCCACTTGCTGAGGGCCAGGCAGTGAGAAACGCAACCCCAGGTGCTCATGTGGGGACTCAGGGCTCTGGTCACCAGCGGGAAACCAGGGTCCAGAGGTGTGCGGCTGCATGATGCCCTGCAGGGGGGGACCCAACCCCCAGAGGAGGTTCTAGGTGGAGATCTGGTGATGTTGGAGATTGGAGCAGGGAAAGAGGTTTAGGGTTTTGCAAAAATATGTAAATCTTGGGCGCCCAGGTGGCTCAACTGGTTAAGCGTCCAACTCTTGATGTCAGCTCAGGTCTTGAGTTCAAGCCTGTTTCCTGCGTTGGCGGCAAGGATGTGGGTGTGGCCTGGCTCCGTGATCATCTGTCTCACCAGGACCTGGACACGGGCCCCAGCGGAGCCCCAGAAACCTGGCTGTGATGTCACACTGACCCAACAGATCTGGGCCAGCAGGGACACGGGGACCACCAGGTTGGACCTTCTCCAGGGGCTGCCCTGGACCACGGCAGCTTCACCAGAAGCCTGGATTCAAGGGTGGAGCTGTTCATGTCCCCCCAGAGGACACAGCTGGTCACCACTGGGAACGGACGTCGGCACAGGTGCTGGAGTGCCTGGCAGCGCGAGGTGTGGGGGACCATCCCTGACCTGTCCAGCTCTTCTGCCCAGTGACCATGCACACCCTGCTCCCAGGACAAAGACAGCCTCTGGGAACATCCTATGAAGCAGGAGAGGCCAGCCCAGCGAGCAGCTCCTTCTCCTGGGTCCGAACCCTGGTGGGGGGGCGGGGCAGGCACAGGCCTCAGGCCAGGGCCACACCCTCCTGGCCCATCTGGTTGGAATGTGGGTGCAGGTCCTCCAGCCCTACCCTCTCCCTCGGAGCGCCTGGCCGTGGGCCATGCCAGCATCCCTCTGTCTGGCTGCATCTGGCCAACAGGGCTGGATTCGGGCACGGTTCCCAGGCTCCCTTCCTTGAGATGAAGCACCAGCCCTGCCCCTTCCCTGCCCAGAGGCGGAGCAGAGCTGTCCCTGGGGGTGGCCAGCTGTGCAGCCAGCAGGAATGTCCCCGAGGGTCCTGCGCATAAGCCGCTGGTGGGAAGATGAAGTCAGGGCCACACACCAGCAGCTTCTCACCCGGACACCTTTAATTGACCCGATTCCCTGGGGGCCTGGGGGCCTGGGGCGTAGGCCGCCGTCGGGGCTGCGGGGGGCATGCGGGTTGCCGGCTATAGTTGTCCCAACGCACAAAACCGCTGCTCTAATCAACTACTGCAGTGCACACTTCGTAAAAGGACAGCATCTCAGCTAAAGGATCCTAAGACTCCCCCGGAGACAGGCAACTATGCGGGCCAAGTTTGGTCCTTGGCAACATGTACAAACAAGGCCACCCTTCGCTAAGTTCCCGATGGGTCCCGGAAGCCTCGTGGGTGCTCCCCCCACACCAAGTAGACAGGGAGAGGAGCCGGCGGGAGGCCCGGGGCTTTGCAGGGCAGTGATCCACAACAGGGAGAAGGGAGCAAAGGCCCAGAACCTGCAGCCTGGCCCGCTGCCCGTGCATCTGTGAGGTCCCAGGGGTTGTGGTGGGCCTGGCCAGGCGGCAGCCCTGCCTTCGTGCGGCACCTGGCCGTCCTTCAGGGCCACCACCTCCAGCCTCCTCAACCTGGCAGTGAAACCCCCCTCTCCTTGCACAGGCTCCTCCTACAAGACCTGGGACCCCAAAAGGGGAGTTTCGGGGGGGAAGGTGAGGCCAAGCACCTTTCAGTAAGTTCAACAAAGGGAGAGCTAAGTGAGGTGAGCGGCCCCCACCAGCCGCTGCCCTGTGGGACAGCACCAACCCACTGGGCCCCAAGGGGACGCCTAGGACAGCGACGTGATGTTGGAACGTCCGCCGGGGGGGGCCATGATCTTCTGAGCCGTGCGTCGGGCAATGTGGTCGTCAGCCTGAGACCCTGCAGAAAAGGCGGGTGTGAGGGCGGGGTGCGGGTGCACTGGCTGCAGCTGTGACCACGGCGGTGGCCGCTGCATCCCCAAGCACCCACACCGTGGACAGCCCGGCGCAGGGAGGAGGTGACCCAGCTGATGCTCCCATGTTGAGGCCGGGGTGCCCAGGAAGTGCGGCCGGGGGCCAGGCCGGCCCATCCCGCCTGTGGGTCTCAGCCCCGTGGCTGGAGAAGGCTGCCCCTAGCTTTTAAGACGTCCCTGGCTTTCCAGGGGGACCTGCCCAGGCCCTGTGTGTCCAGGAGGTAAGCAGGGACTGTCACCCAAGAGGGTGGTCAGGCCAGGACATCGGGGGCATGAAGAGGGAGGGTCTGGCTCTGGTTTGCAGGAAGGACCTGGGGCCCAGGGCCTCTGCAGGAACCTGCCACACAGCGTGCCAGGACCCCGACCACAGGCCCAAGCAGTGGCCGGCACTCCGGGCCACCTGAGCCCTCCAAAGCATCCCCATATGTCCCCATGGGCTCACCGACCCCTTCCTTATGTGCCTCATACGCAACTCTGAGGCTAGAGGGGCTGGACCCCCACGTGGCACTCGGGTCCCCACAGAGGCATCCCATGTTCACCCCTGGGCTCGGAGTGATAGCCCTCTCCTCAGCATGGCTGGTGCAAGGTGGGGGTCACTGCAGCCACTCTGGGGCAGATGCCGGGGCAGGACGGGATTTCCCCATGGGTCCACACCCCAGGCCTGGGCCCCAGGAGGGCAGGCGGAAGCATGTTCTGCCCCCAGTCCCCACCTTGCCCAGTCTGCGGGTGGTTGTGGATGGAGTCTGCAGCCTTGCTGAGCTCGCCCACCAAAAGGCTGAGCCCTGGTACCTGTGACCCCAGGGGTCCTCCTGCCCCTGAGGATGCCCCAGCAGAGTCCCCCCCGGCCCTGCTCCACTCACCAGACAGGCTGAACCCCGACCGGTGCAGGTTGCGCACGGGTGGGACTGAGATCTTCCCTGGGCAGGACGCACGGGCCTGGGCACTGCCCCCCGGCTTGGCAGGCACCATCACCTCATGGACGGGCCCATCGTAGAGGCCTCGGGGCACGCCGTGGATCTCCGCCAGCTGCAGGGCCGAGGGGCCTGGGCGTGAGGGGGGCTGAGCCTGCTACACTCCATGGGCCCCCCTCGGTCGGGCTCCAGAACCCAGTACTCCCTGCGTCCACCTGCACACTTGCATGCACACGTCTCCGTGCTCACACACGTGCACACAGCTCCTGCCCCCGAGGCTGGGTGGCAGTGCCCTAGGCTGGAGGACACCACTCAGACGGGCAGCCCTGAGCAGGTGGCCTCTTCTGGGAACGGAAAACTAGCCCCGACAGCCCCTGCCTCCTCAGGACCCATGGTTCTGTAGCCCCAGAAGAGCCCCCACTCCAGCCCCGAGGAGGCCCTGGGTCTCCCTGAAAATGGCCCCAAGGCCAGAGACCTTTCCCAGCAGCTACCACAATAGACAAAGGGGCCATGGACTGAAGCAAAACCGCCCTGTATGCTTGTGTTTCCTGTGGGCATCTCCCTTGGGATTCGTGTCTAGACTCATGACGGTGGCCAGCCCTTAGGCAGGTCACCACAGGGTGGCGGCTCGCACCACCGAGCAGCAAGTGTGGGGCTTCAGTCCCAAGGATTTGGGTCTGAGTCCACACTCCCCCGATCACCCTGGGTGAGGGCCTGGGAGCCTTCCACCTCTCCATGCGTCAGTGGTAGGTGGTGCCCCAGGCCCCCCACCCCACCGAGCTGGAGGGCTGGGGATGCCTGGCCCTCTGGCCTGGACTCTACAGCTCGGCCGGCGGGGCTGCCTCCTCAAGGTCCCTCCTGGGGGAGCAGTTGCGCGGCCCTCACAACCTGAGACCCCCATGTCTTTGCGAGTTAGACCCCTGACCTGACCCTCCTTGCTCCGGATTCAGACAACATCCTTCTACAAAACTGGGTAAAGCAGACCTGTGTGTACCGTGCGTGTGTACGTGTGTGTGCGTGAGTCCCCAACGCGTGCTGTGTGAGTGTGCATGAGCCACTAATACGCGCCTTGGGGGGGCCTAGGCAGACAGATGCCTGGGGCACCCGACAGATGCAGTGGGTAGCTCAGCAGAGGGAAAAGTACTCACAGCTTCTAAGCTCATGAAAGCTGTTGCGGAAACTGCGTGTCCCTGCGTATTTATTCACGTGCACGTCCGCGCACGGCGACGCGCACGAGGAGCCCGGGCTGCCTCTACTGCAGTCTGTAGTTCTCCTGGGGCAGTGCCCCTACTGATGTTTGTAACAAAGCCACTACTAAGAGCCCACCTGCCGCGCGGGCCCTGCTGCCCCCAGCGCCCAGCGGGCAGGGCCGACCTTGAGGATGAGCCCCGCAGACTCGCAGCACTCTGCGCCTCCCGCGCCCAGCTCAGGCCTTACCCGGTTGCGCGCCTTTATCCGCTTATAGACGAAGTCGGGGAACGTCTTCCGGGGGATGAAGCGGCCAGCCCCGGGGGTGACGAACAGGTTCCCGTCCTCCAGCACAACCCTGCCCTGACTTATGACCACCGTGGGGGCTCCTCGGCACTCGAGGCCTTCAAAAATGTTGTACTCCACATTCTGGGGAGACAGGGGGAGGGTCTGGCACCCAGCGCTGCGGTCCCGGTACCCCTCAGCGCACTGCAGGCCGACCAGCATCCTTGGAGGCCGGTGCGCCCGCTTTAGGACCTCTGACAAGAACCGGTCACCTCGGCAGGGCCGGAGTTCAGAAGGAACTGGGGAGGAGGGGCAGGTGCAGGGTGCTCATCCTGAGGGCTGCCTGGCCCGGCCCTGACCTGGACCCTGACCTGGACCCGGACCTAGACCCTGGTCCCGGACCTGCACCCGGACCCTGACCTGTACCCAGACCCTGACACTGACCCGGACCCAGACCCTGACCCGGACGCTGGCCTAGGGACCAGGCTTCTCTTACCAGGTTGTGGCTCTTGGCAGAAACAATTTTTGTGGCCTTGGGGTTCCAAATAACCAGGTCAGCATCGGAGCCCACAGCCACTCGCCCCTTCCTTGGGTACACATTGAAGATTTTGGCTGCGTTTGTACTGGTCACAGCCACATACTCATTCTCATCCATCTTCCCTGAGGCCTGGGAAGCAAGACAGCCAAGTTGGGGCGGGGGTTGGGGGGGTGGGGGGTCTAGGCTCCAGGCTCCAGGCTTGTGTGTGGACAGGGGCCCCCATCCCCCAGGCAGTGAGCGGCGTCAGGATTGTGAGCCCAGGTTGCCACTGCCTGCGAACTCACAGGTCCCTCTCAGGCTGCGCACGAACACAGTGCTCCTGTGTGGGTCAGTCAATGTGAGGTTTTGACGATGTCTGTGTCCCCTGAAGGACAGGACAGCCCCTCCCCACCAGGTGGCCGGGTGGCCTGGGGAAGCAGGGTGGTGAGAGAGGCCTGGGGTCAGGGCTGGAGTTTGGGGGTGCAGGCAGTCTGAGGAAATCTCAGGCATTTTGGGGAGACTAGCAGCGCAGAGTGTAATTCCATAGGAGACAGGGACCCCACTCTCCCAGATGCTTTCTGCGGGTGACATGAATCTGGGGGAGGGCCTGGCTGCCTCACAGCGCTGGGGGTCTCCTCCAGGGGGACAAGAACCGCTTGTCCGGGGAGTCCTGGATGGCAGGGCTGGGGGCAACACCCCGGGGAGCCCACACTCCCTGCACATGGAGTGCTTAGTGGTCAGTGGCCTCCCTTTCTGACAACCTGAGTGGAGCATGGCCTGCGGCCCCCACTCTACTCACCACACATTTCTCCCAGACCACAGACATGCGCTCCTCGATGCCGTTCGTGCCCTCGGGGATGAGTGTGAAGTTGTCTTTGCCGACGGCCTTCTGCGCAGTGGTGAAGGTGCAGTGGGCGCTGCCGGTCACCTGGAGGTCCCCACTGGGAAAAGTCGGGGTCAGGGGAGCCCAAGGTGGCCTGATTTTCCTGAGCCAGCAAAGGCTGCTGTCGGCTCTGTCCCCCTCCCTGGCCAGCACAGCCCACAGGTGCCGGGGGGTGCCCAGGAGAGCTGGGCAGAGCTGCTGCCCCTGCGTAGGGCACAGGAGGGCCAAGGCAGACCAGTGTGGGGCCTCGGCCCAGGAGGTCCTGGCGCAGTGTTTGTGCAGAAGCCAGAGCTGTCAGCGGATTGAAGCCACAGGGGGCGGGGGGGGAGGTGCGCGGAGGTGTGTGTGGAGCTGGCGGGCCGCACTGGGGCCACCCTGGAGCAGGTCCCTCCCTACCTGGACAACAGGGAGGTGAGGTGGTCTGCAGTGCTGGGGTCCGGGTTGATGGGGGGCGATGTGACGAAGGCCGCGGCCTTTGCCCAGTTCTTGCTCCAATAGTGCGAGCCATTGGTCCCCAGACTGGCAGTGATGGGTTCCCCGAACACGACCACCCCTGCAGTGAGACCCGTGAGAGGCACCCCAGCCGGCCTGCATGCCCCCCAGGACCCGGGTGGGGTGGGGAGCCTGGCGCTATGCTGGTGATACCCCCCAACTGTCCCTCAATTTCCCGACACTGGACGGCTTCCCCCGCGGGGGGCCTCTCCAAACCCACTCCCCCACACTGCCTGCTGGGGGATCAGGCCTGCTGGGGAAGCAGCCAGGCGACGGCTGCGGCAAGACATGATCAGCTGTGCCCGCCCCTGCCTGTCCAAGGCCTGTCCCTGTGGACCCCGGTTCTTCTCTGTGCCCCTGTCTCCTCCAGGTGCGAGGTGCTCTATGGGCGGACCCTGACCCAGCGAACAGTGATGTGGGGCTCCCAGGGGGGCCACGTTCCATCACACATAGAATCAGGGGCTCTGCATCACCCACACACGCCACTTGCACACAGACACAGCATACATGTGCCCAGTTCTGTCACTTCCGGGCAAACGGGGCCAACAGGTGAGCAGCTGGTACCCTGACAAGACAGGAGACTGGGCCCCACCTGTAGAGGGACTGCCCCCACCGATGGCCTACAGACCCGAGGCCCCCCACCCCCACCAGGCCAGGCAGGGCAGCCCCTGCTTCTTGGGCCTGTCTGTTCTGAGCCTCAGGGTAGCCAGTCAAGCGCCCGGCCCTGAGACGTGACCCCTGACCCCAGAGAGCTCCCCCTACAAGCGTGTGGGGGCCAGGGTCTGGTACTCACCCCTGCGCTTGGCTTGGGCAACCACGTCAGCCGCACCCTTGCTCATCACTTTGGTGACGTACAGGGGGCAGTTGGCCTGCTTGGCGATAGTGACAGCGCGGTACACAGCCTCAGCCTCCACCTGGGGATGGGGGTGCTCAGGCCGGGCCAGGGCCCTGGGGCCTCCTCCTGACCATCACCCACGGATCCTGGGCCCAGAGAGGGCACCACGCATGACTGAGGACCCCGCCTGTGGCTCAGTGCCCAGGATCTGGGTTGACCCAAGCAGTACCCAGAGCCCATCCTCACCGCCTTCTTGGTCTTTGGTAAAGGCCTTGGGCCACCAGTGGTCATGGGGGGACATGAGCCCAGTGGGGGGAGGGCCCGTTGATTCACCCCTCCCAGAGGGGGACAAGCGCATCACAGCCCTGCCCCGCCATGGGGTCAGGGTCTGCCCCTGTGCAGAGGCAGTCTGAGGTGCAGTCCGGGCTGGGGTGGCTCTCAGCAGGCAAACTCCTACCTCCTCGGGGCGGCTGAGCACATGGCCCTCAGGGCCAGTGATGCCGAGGTCCAGCAACCGCTTCTGCTCCTAAATAAACCAACAGGACAACACACTCCAGCCCAGGTGCAGCCAGAGCCCTGCAGAGCCCCAGTCTGGGTGTGATGCCCAGGAGACCCCACCCCTGAGATGAGCCCTGGCCCCCACATCTCACATGAGCTCCGCCCCCAAGATGAGCCCTACCCCCAATCTCTCACGTGAGCTCTGCTCCTGAGATGAGCCCTGCCCTCCACATCTCATGTGAGCCCTGATCCCCAATCTCTCATGTTAGCCCTGAGCCGGAGATTAGCCCTGCCCCCTGACTCTCATGTGAGCCCTGCACCCTTAAACTGAGCTCTGGGCCGCCAGGCCCCCCAGAATCACCAACTGCAGAGAACTCAGAATGGAGGAGGAGAGTGGGTCTGGAGAAGAGTGACCCCAGATCCCTAAATTACAGATGAGGTACAGGGCTTGGTGAGGGCACCCTGCCTGCCATACTGGGTTCCGCCAGTGAGGACACACCCAGGGGTGTGCTGGGGGCTCTGCAGTTGGGGTGGACAGACTGCATCTTCCCCAAGCTTGCCCTTGAAGATCTATACCTCAGTGGCCTCTTGCATAAACAAAGATGTGGACGCCAAGCTTCACCGTGAAGAACACGGGAGAAGCAAAATGCCATGGACCCAATAACCAGACTCCCCAGCATTGGTGGGTGTCTCCCAGGCACGCTCTGCCCACCCACCTGTGTACTGAGCTGGACCCACAGCATTCTCCTAACCATGCCGCCAGGCCTGGCCTTGGACCAGAGAGGCACGTGCAGCACTCGATGCCCTCATGGCGGGGCGGGTGGACAAGTTACCTGGGAACCCCATGTGCCCCTCCCCAGGTGTCACCACCTTTGAGCTTGGGATGAGGCTGAGCCCGACCCGCCAAGAAGCTTCTCTGTGGGTCTGGAATACCAGGGAGGTGTGCTGCTGTGTGTGGCCCTGTGAGGAGCCCCCAAACCTCCCAGGTACCCCACAGCCCCTGCACCTGGGGGTGCCTACCCCACAGCCGAGGGCCCAAGGGGCAGGCATGCGACCAGCACCTGTGCTCAGTGGTCAGAAGGAACACAGGTCCAGCTTGGGGGGGGGGCTCAATCCACAGGGGCAGAAGGCACTGGGAAACCCCATCTCAGCCCCCCAAAAGCAACATTTTGGTTCTGGGGAACTTCTGATAAGTGTGCTGATCATGGAAAAATCTGCTACGGCCAAAAGCCCCCCAGGCTCCTCCAACTCCCTGCTTGCTTGACCTCTGATTCTGGGCAACCTACTCACCAGAATATGTTCACTATTCCCCGCCCCCTGGGGTTTGTGGGATGAAGTGCTCACATCTGAGTGTCTAGGAGCCACCCCTGCCCCTCACCGACACCCGCCCAGCCTGCAGGCCGCCCGCCTGGCACCTCCTCCACGATGTCCCCGTTCTCTGCGTGCACTTGCGCCAGGGCACCCAGGTCCCGGATGATGCTGAAGATCTCGTACATCTGGGAAGAGAACACACAAGGTGTGTGGAGCTGCATCCATCCTGCCGGCAGCCTGAAGCACTGGCTGTGCCCTCCTCTCAACACCTGCCCTCACCTGGCCGTCTGTGCACTGGCACCTGTCCTTGTACGCCATGAAGACCAGGAAGGAGTTCACACCTGGAGGAGAGGCAAAGAGGGGTCGGATGCTCGGCTGTTGTCGGTCAGATGCCCAGGAGCCTCCACTGCTCCCGGATCTCCTCCCACGGGTGCCTGGTCCTAACTAACGCATCAACTCCGCTATGAAACTCTAATGTGGTTTCAGCTTCAGGACTTTTGATTGAAAGAGATTAAGCCTTGTTTCTCGACTGGCTTGTTGCAGCACAGGCAGCAGAGAGAACTGGGGGTTTGAAAGCATTCTCCTCCTAAAACGACCTTCAAGGTCTAAGATGTGCAGCCCTTGGCCTTCACCCGGGGCAGAAGACAAGGGGACTGGGACAGCTAAGGACAATAACAGGACGTATCTCTCAGATGCAGAGGTGGATGACCTCCTCATCTGGATCCTCTGGAAGTAGAACAGACCTTCAGTATGTCCAACTTCTCCCCAACACCCAACCAGGCCCCCTACCCCGGGGTTAGACGGATGCAGAGTCCAGCCTGGCCAGGGGCCCCAGGGAAGCTCCCCTTCAAGCTAGGGAAGCCCAGGCCCCCAGGCCAGCCTCAGGAGATGCCCTTACCTTTGTCCTTGACTAGGGCCTCCAACTCCTCCCGGATGCTCTCATGCCAACGAGGGATGTCCACGTGCAGGGAGTAGTCACAGCAGGCCCCGCTGTCTGCACGCTCCCGCCACTGCTCATAGGCTGCCAGGAGGCTCACGCCCGTGTCAGGGAACACATGGTCCACTGTGGGGGGTAGTGCAGTCAGCTGAGTCCCCACTCTGGTCACTGGGAACCACCCTGGCCTCCAGGGGAGACGGGTTTCATGTTCCCGAGAGACCAGAAAGTGCATCTGGGGAGCAGTGGAGAGGCCATGGGTCCCTTACGTGGGGCTGGTGCCACCATGAACCTGCCCATCGGTCCCACATCCCCCAGCCTTTCTCTGAGCAGAGAGAGAGGGGCCGGATTCGAGCCCCCCAAGTCCCTGATGGACACATTCACCCCAAGGAGCACCGGTGGCAGTTAAGGTGTCTTAACCTCCCACACAGGTGTCTACTGGAGTGAGGCACACCTGGAGGGCTTGAGGAGGGCAGGGTGGGGCGGCGCAGGTGATGGCGCCGTCCATGGTGCTGAACCTGGCCAGCCTGCCCGGAGCAGCGGGGTGGGGCTAGTTTCCAGGACTGGTCTCCCTTGCTTGCGCCTCACGGACTACACACACCTCCAACAGTGCCCCCCCACCCCTGGGGAGACCAGGAGTGCATGTCCACTGTGCTGTCACTCCCCGCCACCCAGCCTCAGGTCCAAGGTCCAAACACTGCTCACGGCCTCTCCTGGGTGCAGGGAAAGAGCTCAGAGGAGGGGTGGCCAACAAGAAGGCACACCCACCCAAAGGTTACTGGCCCATGCTGTGCCTTCCTCCAGTGCACCCCTCATGGAGGCCCCTCTGCTTCCCACTGCTCAGATCTCATGCCCAGGGCCCCGTGGGAGTGTGTGCCACCCCAACCTGCGGTCCCTCTGCAGCTCCAGCCTGGGGCTGGCAGGCTGAGGAAGACACATGGCTCGACAGAGGCCAGCCTTGCGCCTGCAGCGACTGTCCATCCTCATGGGGACACCTCACGGCTTGTCTGATGCCTCAGCATGGGCACGAGCAGATGACAAGCAGGAGGGTGTCCTGGCCAGACTTGGCCACCAGTGACGAACATGAGCTGTGGCCAAAAATGGCCACTCTCCTTAGTCAAACTAAAAAATGGATCATTGTTGGCTTTTTTTTTTTTTTTTTTTGCCTGGTGGTTGAGTAATAGCTAAATACCACTTGCAAAGTAGCCCAGAGTCTGGTGGCAGCAGTGGCAGAAGGCACTGTGTGCCAGCCACAGCAGAGCAACTCGTGTGCACAGCCCACCCTCACAGCCTTCTAGGGAGGGTCTTCCTCCTCCTCCTGCTCAGGTTAGCAGAGTGTGACTTCTAAAAGTTAGCTGAGTTACCTGCAGCCAAACAGCCAGGACACGGTGCAGCCAGCGTTCAACGAGGTGTGAGAGGCCAGGGGTTAACCAGAGCAGAGATGCCTGTACTCACACTGCGGAGCTGATGGCGTTCAAGGCCACCAGAGGAGGGGCTGGGTCTCGTCCTGGCTCTGAGCTTACCACCGTCAAGTCCACCACAGGCAAGCCAATGCACCTCGCAAGCTGTTAGGTGGGGCTTGTCTACCGAGCTCGCATGGCATACGAGCTGTTGCCCAGCACAGAGCCAGCACTAAACAAAGGGCGAGCATCTCTGCCATTCTTTTCCTAAAAACACAGCCTCCTTCTTGACACCGGCAGGGACTTCGTGCAAACCAAGCTTCAGAGGCGCAGGGCTCAGGAGCAAATGTATCTGTTTCAGACAACATGACCCCCTCCGTGTGCACAAGGCATTTCGGTTTTGAAAACCTAGTCCCTGGCCAGCTGCCAGCTTCCCAGGAAATAATAAATTCCTGGGCATACATCCATTTGCTCCCGTGGAAACCCAAGCAGCATTCCAGAGCTGGCCAAGGCAAGATGACTCACAATGCGAACAGGGAAAACAAAAGAGTATGCAAGGATTTCCTAGATTGAAAGGTAATAAAGGGAAACAGACCCCTAAAAATGCCCCATTGTAAGGCTCTTCCCCCAACACACAAGCTTGGCCAGTAGAGCAAGGCGTGGGATGGGTGCCCCGCACACCGGGAGACACTCACAGATCATGGTGGTCCCTCCCGCTAGGGCGGCCTTGGTCCCCTGGCAGAAGTCATCTGCGGGGGTCATGCCCAGGACGGGCATCTGCAGCCTGGTGTGGACGTCAACACCGCCTGGCAGAACCAGCAGGCCATGCGCATCGATGGTTTTGATGCCCCCAGGGACAATGAGGTTTTCTCCAATTTGTCTGAAAGTAACAGAGATTTCACTGGTTATCAAGAACCTAGATCAGAACACAAACGGTGAGGCAGGGAAGCATCTGTTTGGGCCCCTGGAGGAAAAGGGCAGCACAGTCAAGACTTTGTCGGCCAGGCCCCTGGAGACTGTGAGAGAGCATGACACCCCGCCAGGGGCTCGAGACGGTCACACAGAGGATCGGACCTGGGCCCGCCTGACTGCCCTTGTCAGGCCAACGTTGGCTTTCCACGTGCTGTTCTACTGACTGGTGGCTGGAGCGTGAGCAGACACGAGCAGAGAAGCTAACAGGTGCAGTCAGTAAGTATTTATTGAGCACCTGCTGTGAGCCCCGAATTGTCCTAAAGCTGTGATAACACAAATGAATGTCCTGCTTCCCGAGACCTTGCCACTAACTGGTGAGATCTCTCATGACTCAAGGCCTGGGCTTGAGCTGGGTTTTGGAAAAGGAAAAAAAAAGAAAGAAATTTAGGTGGAATTCACCCAAAAGTAAACTTGTGGATAATCTGTGATCAATGTGTACACATGTGCTCTGTGAAGATATCCGAGGCAGAAACTCACTTTATCAAACCATCTTCCACATACAGATCAGCATAGAAGGACTGGTCATCATTGACGATCTTCCCACCTTTGATCAAAAGGCGGTCGCTCTATTGGAAACAAACGGAAGATGGGTAAGTTTTCCCCAAACCCAGTTCCTCAGCGTCGTCCCTGTAACTGCTTACCCTGGGATTATGCCTGAACCCCCTCCCCGGTCACGATGCATATACACAGAGGTGGACACAGAAGCCTGCGCTGTCTTCCACCCCCCAAGGATGGAGCAGAGGTGCCTGGTGGCAGCGCGGCTCAATGGCGGCTCCCACAGGCCCCGAGCAGGTCCCACACCTGCAGGGCAGGTAGGGCCCACAGTGCGGCCTCGCCAAAGGCACAGCACCCCGCGGGGGCCAATGTGGGTGAAGGCGTAGCAATGAAATCCATTATATTTAAATAGTTATCACCTAATTCATAGAGCTCAGGCTGAGATCAGAGGGGGACAAAGTCACAGGATCCCACCCTGGCCTGGAGGGCCGGCCCCCCTCGTCAGCCCACACAGAGGCAGCTCCTGGATGGCGGGTGGGCTCTGGTTCATACCAGAATGGTGTGGCCTATCGTGGTGCCAAACGTGGGGGTTAGAGCAGTGCCCCAGCAGGCAGGGTCCCTACCCCGGGGGGGAATGCCTCCCAGCGCAGGGAGACAGACAAGGATGAGAAATTGCACAAGGCCATTGCAGACTGTGACAGACCAAGAACACAAAGAGGCTGATGTCACAGCATGATGGGAGAGGAGGCTGGGCTGCTTCAGGGACAGAGAAGGGCCTACTGGAGTGTCTAGCTGGACATGAAGTGGCCAAGGACAGTGTTCCAGGCCAGGGGACAGCCCCTGCAAAGGCCCTGAGGCAGGAACAAGGTTGAGTTGATACCGGACACGAGAGGAAATGGGCCAGAACCTTCTGAGGGGAGGGGAGAGGGGCCAAGAGCCTAGTGCAGGTGGGACATGCTGGGCTTGGGGTGTCAGTGGGCCCCACTGTGGGGGCCTGAAGCAGGGGTTTGACCATGGTCTGGTGGATCACATTGGCTCTGTGTAAAAAGTAGAATGTGCTGTTCGAGAATGGAACCAGGGCCGTAGCCTGCTGCCATCTGAGCCTGCACAGTGAGATGGGGGGCCTCAGGCCAGAACCCTGGGGCTGAGCAGAGATAGGGTCTGAGAGGCTGGGAGTCGGGCAGGCAGGAGCTGCTGATGGAGAGGCTGTGGGGGTGAAGGGCCAGGAAGACACTGGGGTGACCACAGGTCGTGGTGCTGCCTGGAGGTATCCCAGATGGGTGACCAAAGTGCCAGCAAGCGAGGCCAGCTGTTGGCGGGTCACCCCCACAGCACAGAGTTGTGGCACCAGGTGGGTGTTGATCTAGGGCTCAGCAGCCATAAATCACTTCTAGGAACCTCACCAAATGGTGGAGAAGGAGCGGAGAGGGGCAGAAAGTGGAGTCATGCATGGAACATTGCACGGTTGTCAGGGGTGATGGTCTGACCTCAGGGGAGAATTATGGGCAGAGACATGGAAAATGAGCAGAGACGCAGAGTGCAACGCTGTGGACAGGAACCCAGCTCTGCGGCCCTTTTTCTGTCACTCAGTTTGAGCCTCAGCACTCCCTCTGACCTGTCCAGGCAGGTGGACCTCACAAGGAGGTCTGGCCCCTTGCCTGGGGCTTCCAAGGGTCCACCCAGAGGCCAGGCCGGGGCTCTTCACACACCATCAGCCTGATGCCACGGGAGCCAAGCTGTGCAGTGTGATTAGCAAGAACCCACGAGATGGCTGCAGCGACACACAGCCCACTACGTGGGAGCCTTACTGCATTATCCTCCGCTCTTCTTGATACCTGTGTGGACCGTGTTCTCAGGATTCTAGTCACTAGTAAAACCACCACCCACCGTCTACACAACAGCTAACAAACTGCCACAGGCCAAAGGCAGCCCCCAGTGGACCGACTCATTCTCAGATAAACTCAAGGAAACCCAGGAAGGGGAAGGCTTTGGGCAGAAGACACTTGTGGTCTGCATGTTCCCCACTGTCCCCCAGTTAGGAAGAGACCCGTGGTCACTACACTTCTACACTCCTCCGCTTTCAGGCACCTGAGCTCAGACTTTGGAAACTGTCCTGGGTTTGGAACCAAGAGGGAAGTGCAGCTGAGATGCAGTGCTGTGCTCATCAGACCAGGCTGCAAGTTCCCCTAAACCAGATGCCTTGTGTCTGTCCCACCCGCCCCCAAACCTGTGCCGGCCGCTTGGCAGGCTTCCCAAATCGTCTGGACCCTGCGCCAGTCTGGAGGCAGGAACCCCTCCTGAACGGGAAGGAAGGGGTCTTTCTTCCCTGAGCATCTCTCAGGAAGTGAACCCGGCAACCCCACCACCCTCCGGCTGAGGTCAACTCCAGAGTCCGGTCTTAGCCCCGCCGACGCCCCCTGCCCCCGTCCAGCTGGCGCCTGGGCGCCTCCCTCCCTCCCTCCCTCCGCCTGACTCCTGGAAGGGGCGGCTTTGTTTCCCGGCAGCGCGGGATGGACAGTCTGACCTCCCGCACCCGTGCATGTGGTTGTTGGGGGCGGGGGTCACTCCTTCCGAGGTCTGAGGCTGCCAGAGTGCCCGCTCAGCTGCGACCAGTGAGCGCTCGCCTCCCCTCGGGTCTCCGAGCCCGGGCTCAGTAGAGGGGTCCGGGCCTCCAGGGGCTCTGGGCTGAGTCGCTTTGTCTCGGACAAAGAGCTCCCAGCACGGCGGACGCGCGGTCCGGAGCTAGCCAACGGCGCCGCGCGGGGAACAGCATCCGCGCCCCGAGGCCTGGCCGGCGGTGCCAACAAAAGGCCGCATCCGCCCGCCAACCCCCGGGCAGAGCCCCGAGACCAAGTTCGCCCGCCTCGGCGCCCGTCCACCGCGGGGAGGGAGGCACTTCTGCGCTTTGCGGAGGCCTCTCCCGGCGCCGCGCCCTCCCCAGGCGCAGAGGAGGTCCCGGGATGGCGGCATAGCCTGGGACCTGTGCGTCCGGCTCGGGAAAAGGGTCCGGGGAGGCGCTCGCGGAAAACCCGGCCGCCGGCGGCGCGGGAAGGAGCCCGGCGGGAAGCGCCAGCGGCGGGACAGAAGCACGCACCGGGGCTAGACCGGGAGGGCAGAGCGCTAGGAGCGGAGCCGGGACAGTCCACCCGGGGCGGTGGGCAGGGGGCGTGGGGTGAAGGGGGGCCGGGTGCAGGGCTCACCGTGATCCGGGGGATGCTCTTCTTGCCCTGGAAGGACATCCTGCTCCTCCGGCCGGCGCGGTCGCCTCGCTCGGCCCGCGCGGCCTAGCTCAAGCGGAGCTGGGCTGGGGGTCCCGGGCGGAGGCGCGCAGAGCCCGGGCGCGTACGTGGGGGCGCAGAGCGTCCGAGTGCGAGCACGCCAGGCCGCACGGCTCCCGTTCCGAGCCCCGCCCCCGGGCCCGCCCCGCCCCCGGCCCGCCACTGCTCCTTTGCATTCAAGCCCCGCCCCAGCCGTGCTCAGGACCCACCCGCTGCGCGGCCCCCGGCCCCTGCGGTGGCCACCGGCCGGGTCTCTGCGCCCCAGGCCCCACGCGGACCGGCGGACGCATGCTGCGTGGGGAGTGGGAGAGGTCTGCGACAGGTCCCGGCCGCTGTGTGTGCGGAGTTTGCACCCCCGGAAGGAGGGTGGAGAGGTCCCGCAGTCCTGCGAGGCCCCTCCCTCGACCCTGCCCCGCGGACCACCCAAGGCCGCGGGGACTAAGCCTAGTCGCAAGTCCAGGCCAGGCGCTGAGGAAGCCGGACTCCCTCCGGGAGGTGCCTCTGGCCAAAGCCTGGCTCCTTAGCATCTATGGCCGGGGCCTGGATCGGAACGCAGGGCGGTGTACTGGCTCTGGGACCCGGCGGTAGACACACCTCCGCAAGGCTGCTCTCCGGCGGCCGCGCGGAGCTCGGGGACAGGGGGAAAAGTTGGGGAGACACAGACAGAGATAGAAAGGGATAGCCCAGCGCCCCTGACGGACCAGAGAACCAGAACCAAGGCAGAAGAGGCCGAAAGCGCGGGCTGGGGCTGAGGCGCTGCGCAGGACAGCTTAGTCCCAGGCACAGACGCATTCAGTCAGGGAGAGGGAGGCCCCTCCCCAGCCCTCAGGCCCCCTCGCAGAGCCTGGGGATTTGGGAAGAGGACCAGCCCCTGGCCCACGCCCCGGTGGCCTCTGCCCTGCGGCTACTACCTGCTGGGGCCCGCGGCCCTGGTTCACGCCGGGCGGCTCTCCCAGACTTGCCTCAGCCTCCAGGCCATCTCCGCCTGGTTCGCCCGATCCCTCTGGGTCGCCACGTGGCCCGCTGTAAGGCTCTCCAGCCCGAAGGCTCCGACGGCCGCCGCTCGACGCGTCCAGCTGTAGCGTCTTGTTCTCACAGGCGTCCTCCACGCAGCGGAAAAAGCCGCCGAGCTTGGGCCGAACCCGGGGGCTGCCTGCGCCCAGCGTCCCCAGGCCCGCGGGCAGAGGTTCCGCGGGCTCCTGCGGCTGACGTGCGGCCATGGCGACAGCGGGCGAGGGCCCGCCGGTCCCCCAGCCTCCTGTGGCAGGTGTGCTCGCTGCGCGTGGACCCGGCGGACCCGGGCCTGGCTCTCCCCGCCTCCGCCCCCTGGCCGCCCTCCTGCCCACCCCCCTGCCGGACCAGGAGCCCGCCAGCAAGGGGCTGGCGCTGTCCGCGCAGGGAGTGCTGAACGCGCCGGGCTACTCCGAGGGCGCGCGTTCCGTCCGAGCGAAGTGCGTGGGTTCTCACCTCCGGCTCAACCGGCAGGGCGGGCCAGGGCCACGACTGAAGAAATCAATGTCTATCGGAACTCCAGCCACATTTCTGGGCCCCGTGGGAGGTCCTACGCCCGGCAAGGAAGCTCTGACTCTGAAATGTTTGGCAAGTGGAGAGGGTCAGGAGGATACACCCAGGAGAGCTGCTCCTGACCACCCTTAAAGCCAAGTTCAAGGCTTTGGGGTGAGACAGGGCAGAGGGACTCAGCCCGCCCAGGGTCACAGGACGATGCTGTCCGTCTGTCAAGCCCTGTAGAGACTGACTTTTAAGGAAAAGACATCCCAGCCTCTGTTCTGTTAACGCAGCAGGCATTTCAAAATGTAAGTTCGGACAATGAGGGTCACCTCGAGGACACTTGTGCTGGTGCAGCAGGAGCTTTTCTGCAGAGCTAAATCAGCAACTTTCCCACCTCTGGTCCACCTCTGGTTTCCACTCCCCCCAAGGTGGTTGATAAAACAGCCTCTACTTAACTGTGTGAAGTCCAGTGCAAGTGAAATCTGGTGCCCAGTGTTCTTATTCATGGACAGAAATTCTTTTACTTTTCTAAACTTAAGTTTTCTCTTCTGGTTTTCACTTGATAAACAGCTACGGGAGGAAGCCTGCCTGGTGGCTGACCTCAGCCAGCTGCTGCCAGGCACCTGTGATTTCAAAGCTTGTCTTCCAGGTGATTTTCCGTGAGGCAGGATGAGGCTGTGGGTAACATGTCTGGCTCCCCTCCCCAGTGCGCAGGAGGCCCAGTTCCCTTTCTGGTGTGGAACACGGCATCAGAAGTGGCTAGCATAGCCACTATGTCCAGACTTTAATGCTTTGGGAAGAGGGAACTTTGATCCTCTAAGATTTGAAACATTTTTTATTAAAACTGTACAATAATTTACAAATGAGTAAAAATCCTCTGGTATATATCATAGGAATCACAATACAAAAATATGTGCAAAATTTTGTAGTTGACCACCATACAAACCTATTTTAGGCCTGTGAATACTGTTTAGCACTGAACAGAATATCACATGTTTAGAATGTGGTTAGTAAGGAGCTGCTTCAGAGAACACAGATACTGGCTGGCGTATTGCCATGGTAAAACGAGTCCTAATTCATTGTTGCATAAATTTACAATAAAGCTCTTTAAAATACAGTAAACAAATATATGATTTGATACATATATTTACAACTTGGTTTTCCTGAGCCTAAATGTAAATCCGTTACTGTGTTAAAACACACAATCCATCTTAAGGTTTCAGTGATGGGGTGATGGTCCACGTGGATTGATGTCTCGATGCCTCCAAATCCACTCCCGGCACACCTTCCTTCTCGACATCCAGTGCGGTATTGACAAGCCGTGTAAGGCATGCGGGGTGTCCTGAAGGCTACGGGTTCTGCAAGAGCTGAACACTTTAAGGAAGAGCCACAGTCCTTCAGCAGCTGGACAGACCGTGGACACGTGGAAACGAGGTGCACACACTCACACATCCGTGTCAACCAGGGAGCTGCAATTTACATGGATTTCTAGTGTAGGCAAACGAAAACATCTGTGTTGTTCTGGGTATTGTGGACACAGTGTGATTGTGTTGATAACACATGTCCACGTCTTGGGTTACACAATAAACTTTTCTGGCAACTTCTGGTCCATCCTCTCGTTCCGTGAGAGAGACTGGCATTGACACACAGACTTCCCGTTTGAGCAGTTGCAGTAACAGAGCCCAGGTACTTTCAGGAAATTCAATGCAGCCCACTGGTTTAGCATGAAAGGTATACTCTAGGATTTAGAAAAAGCATGTGATTTCAAAACACCTGAATTCTTCAGATGCTCACTGGACTAGCAGGAATCAGTGACAAATGCACCTAATTGCTTTTTTTCTTTCCTTTTTTTTTTTTTTTTTTGGCAAAAGCCCAGTTCCAAAATGCTAGATTTTGTGATCAGATGAAAAGAAGGTGCCTCGGATACATGAATAGAAACAGTGATCTCTGCAGACAAGGGTGGGAATCGCAGCTCCATGTGGGCGTTCGGGAACATGGCAATGGTACAAATGCAGTTTGGTACGTGGAATATTATTTAAAACATTCACTGAGCCATTTTCACTACGTACTTTTACATTTAAGCAACAACTTGGTAAGCACTGGTCCAGATCTACATGTTCTCTGCCTTGCAGAGTTTGCCCATTTCCAGATTACAGAGCTGTGATAAGACTGTCTGGCATGTGGTGGACAGCCTATGACGTGCTCCAGACAGATGTACAACATGCAAAATCACGATGATCCAAATGAGCACAGGCGATGTGAATTTGGGTTTCGAGTGCACATCATTAGCTCCTGAATGGCCAGCCCGCTCGGCTGCTACTCCTGGGCAGTAACCACTGGGGCCGCAACATGTGCCTCCCCATGCGGACTTCCTGGACGCCTGCCTCATACACTCTACCCAGCTCCAATCTGGGAGTTCATCCATAGCTCTGTGGCGGCTTTGATTAGCTCAAGACTATTGTTTGCCATTTGGTTCTGAGCACAACGTGTGCCGAGAGCATGGAGTCATTGGAATGACACAAAACTATGCACGGAGGATGAAACAAGATTTCAGACTCAGTCTGCAAACCCCAGCAACAGCCCCAGCTAGAGGAATGTGGACTCACTCTGTATCTTGTCCAAGTGAGTAATTGTGGTTTTCATGACCAGAGAAAGGACGGGTCCTTCCTGGATGAGTGTGGGTTAACAGAGCCCAGCAGAAACCCCGCACCCGCTAAAGAGAAGCCTATCTGTCTGATCCTGTAAGCTTTCTCCAATTTCAGCCTAGGGCATCAAGCCTGGTCTGGGGACAGCCGTGTGCACCAGAGTTGAACACGTCTTCTGACACAAATATAAAATGAACCTGACACTTGCAGACACAGTCGCCCCTCCTTTCCGCCCCTGAGAAATGTAGTTTGCTTTCCTTTCATGCTGTGTTGTTTGTTACATTCTCACCTGGCTGCAGGTGTCACCACCCAGCACATCAACCTCCAGGTGCCTCAAAAGAGCTAAAATCTTGTCTCCTGGTTGAGCATGCACAACTGCATACACAGAGACTCACGCACATGCATGCACACACGCGCACACACACACACACCTTGCACCCTCGAGGGCGCGGAGTCGATGGAAGAGTCTCTTCCAACCCGGGAGTCAGGCTGATCTGGAAGACGTTCCTGGGCTGTGGGCCAGAGCACTCAGCAGGAAGGGAAGTCAGGCTTAAAACGGGCTTCATCGATGTGCTATGTCCTCTCTGAAAAAGAGTGAAGACAAAAAGCTTTATTCTAGCGGGAGCCCTCCGAGGCCCTGTGAGGCAAGGCTCACAGTGGGAAAGGTCTGGAGAGACGCCCCGGGCAAAGGCGCTGACGGAGTGTGGGCTCTGCACGGGGGTGGTCGGGTTACAGAGGCTCCAGCACCAGCCACGGCGCTGTGTCTTCAGCAGCTGGTGCAGGAGCTGCAAAGGGCTCTTCCTAGAAGAGCTGCAGAGATGAGTGCAGAGGTGGCCTCGGGTCTCCCTCGCCACGCCTGGGGCAGCTGTCCATCTGAATACCCAATTTCCAT